GTTATTTGAAGATTTCCGAAGTCGTTTTCGTCTAGTTGCCGGTGAAGCCCCCGAACCTAATGGTGAGGGAGTGCGTCTTAGTTGATGATGTTGTTGCTGCTGTTGTGATGTTTGCGTTTGGCTGTTTTGTTGTTGTTGATGGGGATGAGGCTGAAACTGTGTTTCACCGTGTTGGCCATGGTGGTGCTGGGGCTACGATGACAAAGAAGCCGATTACTTTTATATTTATCGCAATAACGAATTTATGTTTATAACTACTTTTTACAAATAAATACATTTTTCATGCGAATTGGAAATATGTACAATTCATGTAGACCATTTACACATTTGCATGCACTTACCTCCCAGAGTGTGTCATTTATGCTACCACCAGCACTACTACCCATGCCACCGCTAGTAACACCACTGCTACTTTGGCCGTTACTGCCAGTACTTCCGCTACCCACTAAATCGGTGGGTTCATTCGATGACTTACTTTCAGATTTAGTTAAATTGGCAGGATCGGTGGGCATTTCAGCAAGTCCTTTGATTTTAAGCATCTCAGCCGTTTTTAGAATGTGTGGTAACTGTTCTTGTGATACATTCACTTCCCCATAGTACATAAAATCAACCATAGTCTTGAGGTCATCATATTGGACATCTTTAAGTATTACAATTGGATGTTGACAGGGATTCGATGTAAATAATGTCTAAGGAAAAAGGATTATATTAAAACTTCGTTAAATTTCTTATTAGTTCTTATAACTTACTTGAAAGTATGAGCTGCAAGCAGAGAGGACAATTTTGTGAGCTTGAAGTTGTCGTCCTTCTGCTGCTAAGGTAACGTCTACTAATGTTCCATTATGTAGTAACGAGGAACATACCGAAATGAAATTCGGTTGATGGTTATTCCAGCGCAAACAAAATTGTTGCACCGACATGATCAATGCTTATTTGACCGACGTTGCCGGCAAAAAATCGTTGTAGTCGTCTATAAATGTTTATTTTTCTTTTTTATCCACTAAAAATATTGAAGTATTTAAAAAATTTTTCTTTGTCTGTTCAGCGGTGTTTTCTAGAATTAGATTTTCGTTCAATAGCGCATACGCATGCTGCTTCCACCACCGTACTAACGCGCAATGTTTGTTTTGATATTCGTAATTTGATATACCCGCTTTTCTTTACATGGTCTAAATAAAAAAGAAAACTGTAGTTATATATAAACTATTTTTTCGAATATTTTTTAGTATTTTGTTCAAGATATAAAACGGGAATTAATTTTAAAGCAATCCACATTTTTCGTCAATGTACAGACTTATCAAATATTTGCTCCCCGTTTTGTCATTTCTGCTGCGTATACACATTTGTTCTCAAGCAATACAATAACAATAACGACACGCCAGCTTCTATGCTATCGGTCAGCACAGCTTTCTTATTAGACGAAAAATAATAACAAATAAAGAATATCTACGTAACGAAATTTAATAGTTTTGCTAGTATGAGTTTGTGTTTTATGGAAGACCTTGAATGACGTCATTTGCGCGTATTTTTCTTTACAATGAAAATTTTCCGACACTTAATTTTTTCCTTGCACTAGTCTCAATAAATATGAAATTTATTGTTATGTGCGTTTATAAATATGCATGTTATTAGACATTTCCAAATTTTACGAACGTTTAGTTTTGTCAGGATATAAATTTGTATGGTGTCTTATTAACTATAGACCCATTATAGTGATTTTTGTATAACCTACACTTAAATTGATAAGTACTGTGTTCTTTTGTAACTTTTAATATGTTAATAACTAAACGAAGAGTGTTTTAACTATTATGGAAAAGTTTTTCTTCAACACTTCAGTCCTTGAACTTTGATGAATGAAAACTTGAGAATAATGGTGAAAACACTGTCGCACTGGCGGGTATGTACATGGAAAAGCGTACTGTATACATTATACATTTTACAATTGCTCTCCATTTGGTTTGAGTTGTTGTTTATCACGCAATGCCAAGCTATAACCAATATTTCTAACTATCACAAATTTTTTTTTAAATGCATACTTTTTAAAAGTTATAAGTCAAATTTATTTCTATAATCCATTTTTATTTTTCTCATTCACTTTCGGCTTCATTCTACTAAATGCAACCGTGCGCAAGACGATTAAGAACACACGAAGCAGAAGGGGTGCTATGCTCGTCTTCGTCTTCATTTGCATACTTAGTTCAATGATTTTTTGTCATTCACACATATTTTTATTTATTTTTAAATATTTATTATTATATTATGCGACTATCGCATAAACTTTATTAAACACTTTCTAATATTAACATAAATAAACACCATGTATAATTTCGGTGAAGTTTTTCCGCGACTTTACACGTTTCAGAATGTGTGGAATATGAAGAAACCAAATACAAAATGGCGCGTTTGCATAGAATTTTCGCTACATCGCAAACAGCACACCCTGACCCGTCTTTGTATGTTACTTTCTTTATATTGCATACCCAAAATACAATTTATTCACTTATTTCAAATGCGCAACAACTGTATTTTATGAATTATTTTATTTACAAATAGAAAATATGCACCTTTTCAATTTGTTGCAAAGAAAACTATATCTTACTTTGATTTTCAGAGGATAGCACAGCAAAAGAGAACTAACCAATAGCTAACACCGAGGAACTCTTTCTTTATGTAATGAGCTGTTGCGCAGTGCTGCCTGATGTTCGCAAATATCTGAATTTATAATTTTATAGTTTATTTAAGAAATTAGATAAATAAATACATTTAAATTCAAACAGCATTAGCAAACCCTGAACAATTAATATTTTTTTACAAATTAATAACGTTACTAAGCTGAATATTCTCATATTTATAAAGGAATATCAATTTTAAATCACGCAATATGTGAACACTGAAAATATGCTTCTTCTTCCAAATAGCTGCACATTTTTAATAATCTGGCAGTATATTTTTGCGCAAACGCGTCGGTTAACGGTTCGGTAAGCGGTTCGGTAAAGTGAATTAGAAAAAATTGGTTTATATTAAATATTTAAGTGGAATAATTGTGAAATGTGTAAAAAGGAACCGCGAAACATGTTTATTCTTCCGTAATTAGTGAAAAAAGTAAAATAGTTTGGTGTGATTTAAGTTATTTATGCCACTTGCGAAGTACTTGCTCAGCGGGTCGCCATTGTTTTAAGCCCGTTAATATTTGTTGTTTTTAAGTTCATTTTTGTGAATACGCTGTCATGGGCCGCCATTGTTTTAAGCGCTCTAATATTTGTTGTTTTTTAGAATATTTTTGTGAATACGCAGTGACATACATATAAGTTTGTTTGTTTCCGATACAGTTCCGGATATGAGGAAATGAATTCAAGCTCACGGTAGCAGCTGAACGAAAAAATTTATCTTCCGCTGTAGATCTTGACTACAGGGTGACCATTATAATTGAAATTAGAAGTGTTATTAGCTGTTATGTTGTGGTTAGTACATATTTGAGATCTGGTTGTTACGGTTGAAATTGCAGGTAGTGAAAATTATTGTTTTGTTATTGTTGGTCAAAATATTACAATTTTTCATGTAAATAATATTGTTTATAAAAGTGTAATGCTTTTAAAAGTTGTAATGAAAATGTAGTGCTTTCAATTAAATTTGTTTTGATAATATTAATTATCGCGAATAAAAATTTGAGAGCTTTTGTAGTGTTGTGAAAAAGTGTTGTGTGTGGTTGTGAAAAAATGATGCCTTAAACGATGTTACTACGTCGAGCGATTAAAAAAAAAAAAATTTAATATTTATTGTCTTTCTATCTGGTGTTCGGGTTCAAATATGTAAGTATGTACGGGTTTTAATTATTATTATTTTTTAAAGTTCCTAATGTTTTTGTTATACATTTTTAAATTTTTTTGATATAAATCTTATAAAATATAGGTTCACAAGTTCATATTGATTTGATCTCACAAAAAAAAGTATCTATTGTTGTTATTTACTTCCTTACATATTTATATAGCGACCGGTATCTGGAGGCGCAAACCGAATTGATAGGTATTTTTACCGATATTAGGTACAATCTTTTTTAATTTGTCAATTAGTGGAAAAGAATTGAACAACGTGTTTAATTGAACTTTTGCTTTTCCAATTACATGTACGGAATCGCAGAAAATGTTACAAAAATGTTTGGTTGTCCACTTGCACTTCAGTTAATTACGATAACATCGAGAAGTCTCACTACAGTCGGGTCGGAAACGGATCGTACCCAGACTTTTATAAGGCTTTTATTCGGCACCATTCTTCGAAATTTCTTCAGGATCGTTTTCTGCTGCTACAACAACAACAACTACAACGATAACATCGAAAATGTAAAAGAAGTAGTGTTTGAAAATCGTCCTCTGGCATAAACGAGATAGCATATGATCTCTTACTGAACGTTTCAAAACATTTTGGTTAATTCTTTATGTATGAATGCTAGAAACTTTTATATTAAACTGAATGACAATGTAGTTTGTTTTGTCAGTTGGGGTCATACTTGATCAAATGGTGTTTATATAACGACTCGCATTTACACTTACTCCAAATAAATCACATCCTTATTCATTTATTTTATTTTTATTTATGCATTCAGAACAATCATGTACATTTCGTAATATACAATAGTATACATACATATTAACTATGCATGCACCAAAGCAAAATTTCTTTAACGTACAAAAAGTAAATTTGAGAATACAGACATGAAGTGAAGTTGAAATTTAGTGAGTTCCTTTAAAAATGCTCGCACCTATATTTGCATTTGATGATGTCTCCCAAAAAGTGAACTCATAATTTCTCCTTCACTATCTATAGGAATATACAATAAATAATAACTATTTCGCACCAATTATTATTTATTGTATTTACAATTTACATTTAGTTCACTTGTTCTTTTTTTACGTTTTCATAAATTTTGCGACATTTTTAATGTTTTCTTTGACATTTTGACATTTATCACAGATTTAATAAATAATAAACAAAACTAAAATTTATATAGTATATGATATCGAAATTAATTTTTTTTAAATATTTCAAAATTTTTTACGATTATTTTATGTCTTCTAAAATTGGTATTTATATCCTTTATGTTAATATTTGACGCCTTAATTAAAATTCTTCACAATTCATTGGTTGTAAAAATTCTCTTCGCTCGCATTTTTAAACCTCTGTAGAAAAATTTCAATTATCGGACGTAAATATTTATGATTTATGATTATTTTTTGTAACACATTTTCAATGAGATTACATAATCAACAAATTACAATTAATTAAAATCGCTGAATGAATACAAAACATTTTCAAAAAACTATTACAATTACGTGCACATACATTCACACATAGGAAAGTATGCTGTATAAATATGAAAATTATCAGTAATTACATAACTTATGTGATTTAGTAAAATTAGTAGTTTCGAAGCTTTCATTGCTTTGTTGTTTTCTCTATTATGCTTTTTACAATTTTTGCAAATTATGCAAATTAGCAATGCAATGCATCGCAATTTTTTATAATTATTTTGAATTCTTCTTCTTTTTGCTCTTTGGCAATTTGGCCCAAATGCGGAAGAAGTATTCATCTCGGCGCAGCAGTTTACCGCGTGCATACGAATGTATATCCGCATCCATATTATGGTCACGTAGCCACGACGATGTGTTGCATGAGCTCATTTCTGTGCGGGGTTCGTCAGGTAAACTCAAATGTCCTGCAAAGTGCAATAAAATAATTAGTTGAATATATTTTAAAAATAGATTTATTTATTTATTATTATTATCTGACTAAAAAACAAGAGAACGGCGTCTGCACCGAAGCTGTAATACCACAGAGGTGCATTTCTTGCAGTATAAAAATATATAGTTAAAAATATGTTTATCTTGTTTTATTCGATCTGAACAATATTTTCCGAGATCGTAGCGTTGTCTTGGACAATAATCTATGGCAAATGTCGAAAAGAACTTTTCTCAAATAAAATTGTTTTTAATATAGGAATTAGATTTTGATCGATCAGTTTGCATGGAAGTTATATGCTATAGTGGTCCGATTTGAACAATGTCTTCGGAGATCGTAGCGTTTAAGTTATCTCGTCAAATAAAATTTATTTTCATATAAGAATTTGATTTTAATAGTTCAGTTTGTATAGCAGCTATAAGATATAGTGGGCGAATATCGATGATTCCAAGAAATGAACAGCTTCTTGGGTCTAAAAGAACGTGTGCACTATTTCAGATTAATATCTCAAAAACTGAGATGCTATCTCGCGTATATTCAGACGGGGATGCCTAATTCCACTTAGCTCGTCACGTTGACCTTTTTCATATATACATATGTACACACGTAAAAGGGTCTCCGAAGTTACAAACTTCAGGACAAATTTAATATACTCTATTCATAATTATATACTTTTCTTACCTGCAGTGATAGCCACATATGGCTCCTCCGATTCGAGTGGTTCGCTCAAACCGATTTCATTCTTTGCAAATATGCGTATCATATATTCATGATTCTCCTGTAAATCACGTATTTGGAATCTTTGCACACCGGCCGGTACACGACCCACTTCGATCCACATGGTCTTCTTCATGTCACGTATGGCAATGTGATAGCCGAGCAGTGGCGCACCACCATCTGACTCGGGTATACCCCATTCAAATATATGAGCATTGGCAGCCAATACGCGCGCCTCCAATGGCGCAGTGGGTGGCGAGGGAACAGCTATACGATAAAAAAAAAGCACAAGATGTAAGAGTGCCACATTCAATGTCTTTCATTTGTACTCACTTGCATGTGTTTTGAGTGCGACGCTCTCGGTTACGGCTGGTGCACCTAATCCAACCGCATTTTCCGCCGACACTCTAAACCAGTATTCGCATTTTTCCTTCAAGTTATCCACTGTGTATTGGCGGCAGTGTGCGTCTAACGTGATTACCTTTGTCCATTTGGTCGACGTTGCCGAACGTTTCTCAATACAGTAGCCTTATGTTGATGAAGGTCAGGCGAATGATAGGAAATTGATTAATTTCTATATTGTATACAATTTTAAAGATAACAAAGTTCAGTAAAGCTCTTTAATATTTTTAAGTGGCTTAAATTTGATCTTTACTGCATACTAACTGATCCCTTAGATTTCGAGGAATCAAAGTATGAGTTCTGCAAGATGCGTGGAAGTTTTTTTCAGGTAAATTAACCTCTAATCATCAATTGCCCGGTTAAAGTGATTTTAGCAACGCGACTTATATTAAAAATGGTCCAAAATTTCTTGAAATAGTATAATCTATCATTCGCTTAAACTTACCAGTTATTTCTGAGCCTCCGTTGTTCGCTGGAACTTCCCAGTCGAGGGTTACGCTGCGATTCGTTACATCCGGAATGCGCAAATTTTGCGGAGGCGATGGAGGAGCTGTACAATATTTGCGTACAAAAAATATTAATAATTATGAACATAAATAGCACAATAGACTTAAGGTCGCGCTGCAATCCTCGTCTATTAATCTTATGAACATAAATATATGGTTATATAGTATATAGATTTATTATATAATTAAAATTTCGTTAGCAAGCACTTTTATAAATGATCTAGGATTTAGAAATATCGATTGTTTATTACATACATATATATTTTGATGATACAATGATGGATTTAGATATTATACCACCAGATCAAATTTGACTCGGACTGGTCCATTAACACATCGAAAAAGTCACAAAAAAAATATTTTTTGAAAATCATCGAAATATTAGGAAGTATCAGAGGATCTCAATGTCTTTTATTGGTTGACTAATTATATTTAGTTTAATATTTTAGGTATGTATTGGCTAATATTTTAGGTATGAATTCGTTAAAATTTAGGTATGTATTGGTTAATATTTTGCGCTTGAAGTTGACCCGTACCAAAAGACAAAACCGAAGGCCATCCCAACCGAAGCTTATAACAAGTGTATGGCAAATTAGATTAGGCGTTGGCACGCTTGTATTGACCAATAAGCCTATTTTGAAGGCGATAAAAAAAGAGTTGTCTTAAACTACGTCTAAATACGGTTTCCATGCCAGTCCGGATCAAATTTGATCAGCTAGTATTATTATATTTTACATGAAAAATTCTTATTTATGTTATTATGTTTGCATGCTGCACATGTATGTCATGTACATACCTATTTTCTCCCAAGCACGTACTGAGTACAGTACAATTCATTTTAGTTAGTGGCATTATTTTAAGAGTGACAGCGTTTTGCGTGTAAGGAATTAAGCAAAGGTTTAGTTAAATAATAATTGGCTAATTCTTATTGCAGATTATAAAAAAATAAATATTCTTAATAAGAGCATAATATAAAATATAGATACTATCATAATAATCGATGAACGTCGAAAATTGTTGATCCATTCGATTAGGTGGAATGTTTTCGAATTCCCCAATTCCTACTACTTCAATACGATCAGTGGGTGTTAAATTGTACTTCTAAAGAATAAATTTTGGTAAGTTGATGTTCGATTTCTTGAAGTCTGTTTATTTTTTTATCGTCTTATTTAATTCTACAACTAGAATATTGTCCTAAATTTTCCAGTTAATGCATGTAATAGTTTCGCAGGTACAGCCCTGAGAATTTGTGAGTTGAGACTAGATAGGCTAAATGCGCCGTCTTTAAACGCCGTTTTCTCGAAACTGTTTTTGAAGTCGGTTGGCAAGATTTCTCGAGAACTACTCTACCGATCTTCATAAAATTTTACACAGACCTGTAAGATACAATTCTTAAAGAATTGGACGACGGCTTTTGAAAAAAAAAGTTTAGTAAAAACGACTGGCAAAAATCCAATTTTCAGTTTTTTTCCTTTGTCCAAGTTCAAAGTTAAGGTTTTAACTAAAACACGTGTTTTTCACTTTGGATGATCCTGTAAGAAGTTATCCTGCCAACGTGGGCGTATCTTTTTTCCGAGGGGTCACTGGAGATGGCATCGCAATGGCCGAGTTAAAAATATTTTTTTTCCAAAAATTTCAGAATTTCTTTGTTAATAGTGTATGTTGTAACAATAAAAAATTCTAATAAAATATTTAATTTTTTATATGAGAAAAAAAAAAAACGTTAAAAAATGCTGTTTTTTACCTGAGGAAACTCATGTAACCCCTTAAAGCAAAAGCAAATATTAAATGAAACAGTTAGTTGAAGTTGCTAAATTTGAGAATGCCAAAGCAAGCAATTTTCAAGTTAATTATAGGCTTTAACTTGAAAATTCCTTAACTTGTCATAAAGATCCGTAAAACTAACTAATAAAAAATGAAAATCTGTTTTATGTTTATACAATATGTTTTTAAATAAAAAATAATACAAACAGTCGCTGTGCGGCACTTACTTATTCTGCGGCCTACAACTATTTTGTCTTCAGTCTCTAGAGCTTCACTAATGCCAACTTCATTCTTTGCATAGATTTTGAATTGATATGCCCGATCCTTTATCACCTCGCTAACGAGTATATTTGTAACGTTGCCGATCGTGCTGCCGAGCAGACGATATTCGGTTTCATGGAATTCTTTGATTTCGACAATATATTCAATAATCCTTGAGCCGCCATCGCTTTCCGATGGTTCCCATGAGAGCGTAAATGCTGTATCCGTCATGCCGAAGACGTCTGTAGGACCACGTGGCGCTGATGGTTTTTCTGTGACGTCATAAAAAAGATTACAATTTTATTGTAATTGTGCAACACAACTAAGTTCTATAGATCTTTGTAAATGTGATATAATTACTTACCGAATTTCTTGGTAATTGTTACCGGGTCACTCTCAACTGGTTCAGATTCACCAACCGGGTTCGCTGCTACGACTCTGAACATATACTGAGCGTTCATGGAAAGTTTTTGTATAGCATAGGAGTGTATGTCTTTTTCCAAATCGGCCACCTTCATCCACATATTATTTTGCAAATCACATTTCTCTAACACGTATTTATTCAACTCGAGACCGCCATCATCGATTGGTGGCGTCCATGCTATTGTGATTGCGTCCTTCTTCATTTCCTTGATTTCCAGCGATTGTGGTCGACTTGGCTTATCAATAACTTGTATTGTACATTCCGTTGTCGCGGTACCCGAAGTGTTCGTCGCTGTGATCTTATAACGACCGGAATCTTCACGTGTCACCTTCTCGAGTGTATATGTTGAGGTGGTTTCTGTGGTTTCGATTTGTACACGTTCCGTTGTGGTTGTTTGTTCGATGGTCTCTCTATACCAAGTGATTTTCGGTTGTGGATAACCAAGTACTGTGGCCGGAATGTTCAAAGTGGTGCCAGCACGTATTTTCTGTGCAAGATACTTCTCATCGATATCGATGGTCGGTTTCTCTTGCAGTATAACTCTACATGAGGTCTCCACGCTGCCCATTTCATTTTCAGCTACGCATGTGTACGTCGCTTCAGTCTCAATTGTTGTCTTCTCGATTGTGTACTTTGATACACGATTCTCATAGCGTATGCTCTTTGTTGTAATTACCTTACCATTCTTTTTCCACGTCACTTTCGGCTCTGGAATGCCACCGAATACACAAGACAATGTAATCTCCTTGTTCAGCTCGGTTACGATGTCTTGTAGTGGTTCTTGTACTGTGGGTTTTTCCTTCTTCACCTCAGCCACAAGGCGTATGGGTGGTGAGAGTGGTGATGGCGGTGACGGTCCAACCTCATTTACAGCGATGGCACGGAATACATACTCTGTATCGATTTTCAGTTTGCTGATAGTGTATGTGGTGTCTTTGATTTTCCGTATCTCAATCCATCTGCAAATTTATATATAAAGTATTTAGAGTTTGTTCCCAATTAGCAAATTTTTTTTTTAAATTACCTCTCCTCTTTCACGTCTTGATATTCCAAAATGTATTCTGTGATTTCACATTTGCCATCATCTTCAGGCGCCTTCCAGAAGATTGTAATAGAATCGTGTGTGACCTCTAATGGCTCCGGTGCACCAGGTGCCGTTGGTTTTCCTATAAAATGTTTCGAATTCGTTATTGTTGGATTTTAGATAATTAAATTCGACTAAGTTCTAAAATAGCATTAAAAAAGTGCATCAGAATTGCACGCTTCTAGAAGCCAAACATTTTTCATACTACTTAAAGTTCGAATAATTCACTTTACTGCAGGAACCGCAATCGCTTGAACAAATTTTTAATCTCAAATACTTACTCATTATGATCAAGTTAAGCGTGGCCTCCACTTCGCCAACTGGATTCTTTAGTCTTACAGTGTATATACCTTCGTCATCGTCCACCACTTTCTTGATGGTAAGCGATGCCGATTGTTCATCTAATGTGGGTATTAAATGCTTATTCTTGACAACAACATTCTTTGTTGTACTCCATTCGGCATCTGGTTTTGGGGTGCCTGTAAATTTGACTGTCATCGTAACATCATCATTCTCCTTAACTTTAATCGTTTGGTCCTTGTCAGTGGTGATGATGGGTAATGTTTGAATTTCCTCAACACACAATTTACTTGCTGTTGTTGCATTAGCAGCGGTACAACTAATCTCACCGCTATCATCATCATCAGCATCGTGTATAACCAAACGTCTAACGGTACCCTCAACAAATACTTCATGCTTCTTGTTGGGTTTAATTGGTTTCGCCTTCTTATACCACGTGACCTCGACATCAGGTTGTGACAATTCAACAGTGAATTCGGCATCTGTACCCTTCGTGGCGATAGTCACATCAGGCAACGGCAATACGAAGTTCACCAACGGTTCCTCGACGATTAGTTGTGCCTTTGAAGTTTGTGGACCCACTTGTATGGTATACTCTCCGGCATCCGATGGTTTGGCCCCAACGATCTTTAGCGTTTGTTTCTTACCATCGATCGTTAGTTGCATGTGTCCGTTGAGTGGCAGCTCTTTGCCATCCTTAAACCATTTAACTAACGCATCACCCTTGCTCAATTGAATTTCGAAACCGGTGTTCTCGCCTTGTGTTACGGTAACATCGTTCAAAGGTTTCACAATTTCGGGCGGCAATTCAATGACTGTGAGTTCAGAGCTGCATTCCTGCTCGTCTAATTTACAGGTGTATTCGCCCTCATCGTGTACGGTGATTTCACGTATTATGAGTTTACGCACCTTACCCACGTTGACGAATTCTACATTCTTCTTTTCGGGTGTGATCTTTTCACCGTCCTTAAACCATACGACTTCAGCAATATCCGTGGATACTTCAACATCCAAAATTGCAGTCTCCTTTTCGGTTACTTCGTAGTCTTCGAGGATTTTAATGAATTCAGGTTTACGTGGCAAAACTTCAACTGTCGACTCGGTCTCCTTATTCTTAACTTTGCAAACATAAGTACCGCTATCACGCAAATTGGTATTACGTATAACGAGTTTATGTATTTTGCCATCTTCGACGACTACACGATGATCCATACCACTGAGTTCTTTGGCATTGAAGAACCATTTTGTTGTGACCACATGTGAGGTTTCACATTCCAACGTTAGTGATTGTATTTCTTCGATAGTTATGGTTTTCTTAAGTTTCTTGGTGAACGTGACCTCATCAACTTCGACTATAACACGCGCTCCATGTGATGTTTTACCGATCGGATTGCTGGCTATACACTTGTAATCACCGGAATCTGTATCGGGGTTTGCGTCCTTGATAATGAGCTCAATATTCTCACCATCGTACATTTGTTGTATACGTTGTGAGGGATAGAGTGGATTGTTATTGAAAAGCCACTGCACCTCAGGCACTGGATTACCGGTCACCTTAGCTGGCAAACGGATTGTGCCCTTTTGCGGCACAGATTGTTCCTCGAAACGTTCGACGAACAACGGCGGTTCTGCATTGCCGGAGGAAGGTTCTGTTTGGAGATAGGAGTACAGAAATTTCGTTTAGTAAGCTGAAAAGTCAACTTTTATACTTATTGAGGGTTTAAGCTAAACATAAAACAATAAACAAAAATAATACCTTCAATAGTTAGGTTAGCCGTTGTTTCTACGCTGCCCAATGGATTCTCTGCCTTCACAGTATATTCACCACTTTCAGGCGCCTTCGGTGAGATCAATGTCAAAGTATGTGTATCTTTGTCGGATTTAGTATTCTTCGTGATGGGTTTGCCATCTTTGTACCAGGTCACCTTAGGGCGTGGATTACCCACAATTTGTGTGGTCAAAACGACGCTTTCACCCTCACGCACAACAGTGTTGCGAAGTGGTTCCAACACTTGTGGTGGTTCCTTGTCACCAGTGCGTACTTTCAAAATAATCGGGAGTCGTGATTCGCCTTCCCGATTGGTGGCAATTACCTCATAGGTACCTTCCTGATATTTCTTTACTTTCGTAATGTGTACAACACTACAATACATATGCATATCAGATTCGGTAACAACACGTATATTTTTGGTTTCCTCAACATCGATTTCCTCCCCATTGAAGGTCCAAACAATATCGGGCTCAGGTACAGCCACCAAACGGCATTCCAATATAACATTCGTATCTTCATCAACATATTGAGCTTTCGGTTTGCGTGAGAAGGTCGGTGGAATGCCCTCGAGTATATCGGCTAGTGATGACTCACGTGACAGACTCTTGCGCGATAAGCCCGTAGCATCGGAACCATGATCAGATAGCGGTGTTTCAACAATCAGTTCCGTTGTGGATGAAGTGAAACCGGCAGCATTTTTAGCCACACAAGTAAATTTACCAGCATCCTCTGGGAATACTTCGCGTATGATCAATGTAGCCACATTATCTTCATCATAGTACATTTGGAAGTCTTGTGAAGGCTTTATTATGGCAGTCTCACGGAACCAAGCGATTTGTGGACGCGGTATACCCTCAACTTTGCATTCAAATTGTACGGTATAACCATCAGGCGTTTGAATTGGTTGTAATTTTTCAATGAAACGTGGTGCCAAAGGTTTCTCTTCAGGTCCGGGACCTTCAAACATTGATGTGTTATAGAAGAAACAATAGAACAGAACACGTTGTGTTAAACATAAAGTGAACAAGACACATTCTTACCAAATTTTACAAAAACAATGAACGATATTCACGTACGTTAAGAATTAGGTACATTAATGGCTATACAGGATGAGAAAAATTGGTGTTTTCGAACTTAATAAACCTTTAATACCAATAAGGCTTTATTTTTTTGTATTGAATGTGGTTAGCTTAGGAGTTTGGCGGTGAAAAAATTAGTTTATAATTTTATGCTGGTCTTACATATGTACATATATACTAATTTTTGTCACCCTGTATGCCATTTTTTTTCAAACAGTTATAGTCCTCTTTCCTTTATAATATATGTAATAGGTGAAACTTACGTTCAAACACTGGCAGTTTGTCGATTTTCTCGTGTAATTTCTTCTGTACATAATGCTGGTACTCGACTGGTTCCATAAGATATTGCGCAGGTACCCAGCCCTCCTCTTCGGTTATGTTCTTTTTCACATACCACCATTCTGAACTGTGCCGTCCGATGACATAAACCTTTTCACCCTCGACCAAATTGATTGCCTCGTCGTTGTCGGCGATATAATTGCAAATGGAATACATGGCATTCTCGTCATCGGTTTCTGAAAGGAAGGTAGCCTCGTTAGTTATCAACGCCTCCAGTTTATACTCCGATTTCAAAACTTACCTTCAATATTCATTTCGCGTGTAATATTTAATGAAGCGCCCTCTGTTAGTGGGAAAAAGTAAAAAAGAAAAGTTAAAAATAATGCCAAATGGAGAGAGGATCCATCATTTTTGACCAGTGAAATGTTAATGGTGCAACAAATATTGATTATGAGTACACTGAGCATGGAGAGACATAGATGTATGCATTAAGAGCCGTTACCTCATATTACTAACGCTGTTATCATATAAGCCTGCTAAATTAAATTTACTCAGTTGAAGATAAAGAATAACATTAAATATTTATTGCCAAGCAGTCAAATGATCAAATGCGATGTACTATATATACTATAATTCAGGTGCTATCATATACATATCTATTATAAAACAAGGTTTCGTATTACTGACCTTCGTTGAAAATCTGTTGCACAACCTTTCGTTTCTTTTTGAATGTGAACGAGTCCTCATCGTACTCTACCGAATCGCTCTTCGGACGACGAATTCCAATCAAGAATTGCTCTTCTTCCTCATCTTGTATCGAATATCTGGGTTTAGCTGATTTTGGTTTAATCGTGAAATCGAAATCGTCAGGTGGCAATTCTTCCACTTGATATTCTTCGGGTTCTTCCACATCGTACATGGTATCTTCAATACTACTATCATCTCGTATCTCTTCAATAATTGGGCCTTCATCATCATCATAATCTTCAAAGACCTTGACTTTAACTTCATCAGCCGCTTCAGAGTATGTCTTAGTTATAGGTTTCTTCAACTTAACTTTGCCGGACATTGAGATCTCTTCTTCAGCATATTGATCCAATGCAATATTGAATTCTTGATCGACATCTTCTTTAGTTTTTGTCGTTTTAGGACGGAATGTAACATTTTCAACATCGGTAAATTCGGGTATTTCTACACCCTTTTTGCGACGTTTCAATTTCTTAACCGTATATTCTTGTTCGTTTTCTTCGGTTATTTCCAATGGTTTTGGTTTTGGTCCTCTCTCAACGATAAATTCTTCGATATCTTCACCTTCTTCGTATTCCTCTACCCGTTTGATTGATAGTTCTGCACCAGCTTCGTCGAATACCATTGGTCGTGAAGGACGTTTCTTCAAAACTGTTGCTTCTTCTGTCACACCTTCGTTTATGCGTCTAGGTTTTTTCAAAGACAAACTAAATTCTTGTTCGTCATGTTCTTCAACGGTTGGTTCGAATGGTTTCCTCGGTTTTCTGCGCATAACGACCGCCTCTTCCACAATCTCTTCTTCCTCAATTTCAACTGGACGTTCTTCGATGACTTCTTTGGTTATTTTCAGCTCATCAGCCGCCTCTTCAACAACTGGCTTGGGCTTCTTCTTCTTTTTCAGTGCAACTGTTTCGTCCGTTGTTTCTTCTGTCGTTTTCTTTTGTTTAGGCAATTGGACGTCGACTTCGAACTCCTCAGTTTCAACTTGTTTAGGTTTCTTCGGCTTGAGCACAACGTCAACTTGCACATCATCTGGAATTTCTTCTGGCACAGGTTTTTTCAATTTCACTTCAACCTCTTCACTTTCTCCTGTATCTTTTGGTTTTCTAGGCACAGATACCTCTTCGATCTCTTCTATTTCTTCAACAACAGGTTCGGGTACAACTTCTTCCTGAACTTGTACGGTAAACTCGGCTGCCGCTTCTTCCTTAGGTTTCTTTGGTTTCTTCTTTACAACCTTGAGTTCTTCCTCCACTTCTTCGACCTTATTTTTAGGTTTCACTGTTACTTTCGCTTCAGGCTCTTCAACTACTTCTGGTTTAATTGGTTTCTTCTTTGGCAATGCAACTTCTTCTTCGGCAATTTGTTCGGGTTGGGGTTCAGTTTCTTTAATATTGAACTCATATTCTTTTGGCTTTTCTTCGGGTTTTTCTTCCTTGGGCACTATCACTTCTTCTATTTCTTCCACTTCTTCCACTTGTACTAGTTCTTGTGGTACTTCCTCTTCAATTGTAACCTTCAGTTCAGCCGCAGCTTCTTCTGGTATTGGTTCTTTTTTCGGTTTCTTCTTAATTTTAATTTCCTCCTGAACCTCCTCAATTGGTTTCTTTGCTATCAATTTAACTTCGGTTTCCGGTTCTTCTGTGACTTGAGGAGCTGGTTTCTTTTTCTTCGGAAGTGTTATTTGCTCCTCAGAAACTTCTTCCTTTGGTTTTTCAGTTTCTGTTACCTTAAATTCATATTCCTTTGGTTTCTCTTCCTCCGGTTTTTGTTGAATTTCTTCCACTTCCTCAATTTCTTCAACAACTTCAGGTGCGGCAGGTACCTCTTCCACAACAGTCACCTTGAGCTCGGCCTGAGCTTCTTCAACTTTAGGTTCCTTTTTGGGTTTCTTCTTAATTTTGATTTCTTCCTGCACTTCCTCTATTGGTTTCGTTGTTGTCAATGT